GACCACAGAGGCTCTTGGAGATTGAGTGGCTTATGAACATCAGCTCCTCCCCTTAGCCCATAGGTTAAAGCAGCTGCTGCCCCTGGTCCCCAGCAAACTGCCTGTGGTTCTAACTGTCCTGGGGCAGAGCCAGGTGTCACGCTTCCTCAGCTGCTCCCCAGTGGTGACATATCTCTGCCTGACCCACACCAAGGGCAGGATGGGATTCTCCCAGGAGCTGCAGGTCTTGAAAGTTACATGAGATTCTACCTCAACTCCCATCCCTTTCATTGCCCCTGAAGATTGAGAAATTCAGCAACTATCTTAGGTGTCCTTGACCATGGACTTGCAAGGATCCCTCCTCTGACCCCTTGGTTTGCTGAGAGGATGATAGCCATCATTCCTGTCTGTAGTTGCTGCTTCCAACATGCAATCCCACGTCACAGTCCATCACGCAAGGGGGTCCCTACACTGCCAGGCAGTGGTCATGATTTAGGTACAAAGGACGTTTGTATGCACATACTTCCCACATCAACCCAACCCTGAGAGGCGTCTCATCCTAATCTTACAAACGAGGACTCTGAGATCCAGCGGGGCATTCAAGTCCAAGTCTCTGCACCCCAGGGAGTGCTGTCCACATGCTCCCTCACGCTCTGCTGCTTGTACACTACAGGTAGGTATAGAATGCTCACCAAGTGCGTGCCCTGGTCTAAGCTCCAGGGATAGACGTGTGAATTAAATAGATGTGGTCGCTCTCGTCAGGGCACTTATGATGTTGAGAAAGGGGACAAAACAAGTCAACAGGCAGTTCCCACATGGTGTACCCGTGATGACAGAAGTTCAGAGTTCTATGGAACACGTGGGGTTGCAGACCTGCCCAGCCCTACAGAGGAAGAGATCTCTCTGCTGCAACTGCAGGGTTAGGTAGAAATTAGCCAGATGAAAAAAGATTTTCCAAGCAAAGGGAACAGCCCCGAGGTGAGCCAGTGTGACACTTGATGGAACTGAGGCCATTCGGGCCAGCCTAGAAAGGCAGGGGGGCTGTGAGAGAAGATTCTGGAGAAGTCCACACCAGCCAGAGCATGAAGAGTTTAGTTAGCCCTGTTAAGGAATTTGGATTTTGTCCTGTGGTCCCTGGGGAGCCCTTGAAGAGTTTTAAGCAGGAGAATAATAAGATCAGGTTTGCATTTAAGAAGGCTTGCTGGCTTCATGGGAAATGGCCTGAAGGCAGGTAGCAAGAATTCGGGGAGCCACGCAAGCCATTGTCACTTTGAGGTGATGGGGTGATGGGACTGCTCCTTCTCTGAGGAACGAAGGAACGAAGCCAGGTGGAATGCTGTGAGAGATAGGGAGGACCAGGACAGGGAATGGATGCGGTGAGTGAAGATGCTAATGGAGGGAGGGGCGGGAGCACATAGGTGAGTGTCTGTCCTGGGCAATGAGATAAGGAAAGGAAAAAGGAAGGGGAGGGGTTTTCGGAAGGGTGGGGGGCGATCAGTTCCTCAAATGCGTTTGTCAGGAAATAAAGCGGGACTGGGAGGGAGATCTGGGAGCTATCTATGGGGATGACAAGTGAAGGCACTGGCGTGACGGGGTGCCCGGGGAGAGGGTCACGACAAAACCCTGGCGATTCGCAGCATCTAAGGAACAGCTGCAGAAGAGGAGACTGAGAAGGAGCAGTCAGGGTGAGAGATGGCTGAGGTGACGCGGGAGCCAAGAAGGAGAAGGGTTTGCACTCCGTGGCTAGTGTGCAGCGCGGTGCCGGGCGCACCGTGGCTGCTATGGGATCAGGGAAGGCTGGGTGTCACAGGAAGCCAGGCTTGTGAAAGAGCAGCCAGAGGACCGCATTCCTTCTCCCTTCCAAGCCCAGGCCTTGCCCCGAGGTAGAGATTTTTCTGTGCAGTGCACAGAGCTGCCTGCCAGCCCCCACATTGGAAATACCCCCAGCAACTCTGCGATTCCTGAAATGAGCCATGCAGCCAACGACTCCCAGAGAGGAATGCCTTGGCGCCAGGAGGAGAGCCTCGGGGGCGTACAGGTTAAGTCACAGAGCCTTCTCCCTGGCCCTGCCCAAGGTGCAGCCTCCCTGACATAGGCCAGGCCTCCCCCTCAGTGAGCAGCAGCTGAGGATGTTGTCCAGATGAGCAGCGTGCCCTGGCGAAAGTCAGCACAGGTTCAACCGCCTTGGACCCAGGCTGGTTCCCTGAGCCACATCATTAATGGGAATGTGCCTCTTTCAGGTCGGGAAGGAGTCATCACGAGTCTCCCCTTCCTGATGACCAGAACTTAGTCTGGGGCTGGAGCAAGGGGTAGCAGAGGGGCTGAGGGAGACGTGGGCTGGACAGGTAAGGAGATGCAGGTGGGTGAGGATGAACGTGGCAGAAATGGGGGTCACCTTCTTTCTCATCTCTCCCGCCTCCCCTGCACTCTCCCCCTCTTTTCCTCGGGGCTGAGCTTTCTTAGTCCAGAGTTTGTCTTGACAACTGGAGATCAGGAACACATGTGGGTGGGGTGGCCTAGAGCAGGGACAACTGCAGAGTGAAGGGAAAATGGTCTCATGCGGACAGGACAGCCCTCAGCCCATACCCCTTCAGTGGGAAAGTCTGTTTTAGCTCGGCGCTGGGCTGCAGAGAGACTGGAACAGCTCGTGGCTTCCCCCACTGGGTCTGCCAGCCCTGGCAGGGCGGCTCTTTGGAGCGGGTTCTTCACAGCACAAAGCAGCTCCCTCTGCTGTGCCCTCCAGGACACGTGTGGGCACTGCCGAGGCTGGGGGGGCTCCAGCCCCAGCCCAGGCCCCCCATTGGGGCTTCTCTGAACAGCTGCTGTGAAGACTGCCTGTTCTACCTCGCTATCTTCCCCTTTTCTTTCTCTACTCTGGTTTCCTCCATTCAGCAGTTCTGCAGCCTTGCTCTCATATCTTCTTTATTCTCAAGAATCCAAATGGGTGAGTGAATTCTGCAAGAACAGGGACTAAGAGGAGTCGTTCACCGAGCAATGAAGGATTGTCAAGCCCTGTGGAGTCCTAGGTGCTGGGGATGGACACAGCCAACAATCAGACAGTTATAGTCCCCTGGCTTTGTAGAACTTACAGGATGAAAATAGCCCTCATCTTCTGAGTGGCCTGGACCACACCTCAGATGCCGCCTGCCCCATAGGCAAAGGCCAGTGTGAGCCCACAGAGCCCAGCAAAGGGACTTACCTGAATGTCTGCTGAACTGAATTCAGTCTGAATGGCATCAAATGGGACTGCATTTCTCTCCCGAAGGTGACAGGCCCTAGCTGAAGAGAACACATCCATTAATCTGTCACAAGCCTGAACACCCTAATAAGGGAGCTGAGGTGGAGTCCCAAGAAACCTAACAGTGAGAGGAAATTTAGTCCCCTTCTTTGGAAACTTCCCATCTACAGTCACAGGCCAAGCAGCCAGACTAGGAAAATAGCGGTGACATAATTCACACTTCTCCTCCATCAAGCACAGGGCCGGCCATCAGAGCATTCTGGCCTCTGTCCACGTTGTTCCCCTGCCTGGAATGCCCTCCTCTTCCCACCTCCTCTAACAAAACCGTACACCACTAAAGAGCTTAGAGATGAAACAACATGATACCTGGGATTTACTGGGATCCAGAAAGATTTGGGGGGGGTGGGGAGGGAACGCGGAGAGAGGCAATCGTTAAAATCAAATTGGCCCGGTGTTGATAGTTAATGAAGCATGATGGTAGGTAGAGTTTTCTAACATGTCCTATGCATCCATAAAAGCCAGGTCAATCCTACCTTGTACATGAAGCTTTCCTGCCTACTCTCCACTCATGGACAGGCCCCTCCCTAGTCATACTCCAGTGACTTAGCCACAGTCATCCACGGTAGCACAATGATTTACTGTAGCCACTTATTATGGATTTGTTTCATAGCCTTTCGGTTGCCCTTTAAATTCCATGGCAGAGAGGAGAAGGGAAAGACTGACATTTCTTAAGGGCTCCCCATTTATAGGGGACCAGACTGCGTGTTTCTCACATAGGCCAGATCCTACACTGCTTTGCCAGCACAAAGTTGGGCTCTCAGAGGGCATCTCATACATATTTGTTGGAAAATATATAGGAGTCATTAAGTAAACATCAGCACAACCATCTGGCGGACTAGTAGACAGCCATCAAAGACAATGGACAAGTTTCTAATGACGTGTGGAGGGATTCGTACCGTTAAGTGAAAAATAACCAAAGCACAAAATCATATGGATGGTATGATCTTAATTCTATAAAAATGGAGTAGAAAAAAGACTGAATGAAGCTCAAAATGTGCTGATTTCTGAGGAGGGGTTATTAGGGATTTTTTTCTGTTTTCATACTTTCAAAATGTGATTTAACATCATATACAACAGGAGTCAGTAACCTTCTTCTGTCAAGGGTCAGACAGTAAATACTTTCAGCTTCGCAGGCTGCACAATCTTTGTCACAACTACTCAGCTCTGCCTACGCAACCTGAAAGCAGCCATAGACAATGTCTACATGAATCGTAGTGACTGTGGTCCATTACGACTTTATTTACAGCAATAGGTGGTGGCCTGGATGTGTCTCACGACCAGCCACAGTTGGCCAGCCTCTGACCTGTTACTTTATAATCAGGAAGAAAAAATGTTATTTAAGTTATAGTAAGCATGTATTCTCAACTATAACTATAGGATCTTGGTACTGTGATTAATAGAGAAGGGCAGGGTACAAAAGTCTTACAGCCATGCTTTATTCCAGTACCCTTGCATCATAAAACACTCAAAATTGCAAATCATAAATTACAGAATATGAGGATGAATATTCTGTGCTGGATAGAGAAGTAAAAATTCATGATACCAGTAATTAATATAAATTTTAGCTCTATTTTTAAGCACTATATGTCATTTATTTAGATCTTCTTTTATATCTTTCCATAAAGTTTTAAATTATTTTAGAGAGTTCTCAGGAATCTATTATTTTTAAAGCATAATTTGGGATAAACTGAAAACGACAAATTCTTTTTTTTCCCCCCTGCAGATTTTCTGAAGCGAAGGCCCTGGGAGAAAGTATAAATGAAACAAGAAGTAAAATTGGTAAGCAGATGATATTCTGTGAGCCTTTTTCACAGACCATTTTCTTGGTAAAAATCAGGTCATGATGTCCCTCCAAATAACCATGAAGCTGAGTTTCAAGACATCCCTGCCAAGGAAGCTGCTTTGAGAGCGCCTTTCCTTGGAAGTTTGTCATCTCCCCTACCATCCATCAGGAAAAGTATTTTCTTTTGTCTAGAACTTGAACTTTTCATCCTCATGCAGGCCTGAGCTCTAGCATCCCAATGAGAAAGTTTTGCTTTGCCCCTGGTGTTCCTCAACAATAGCTCAACTAGACACAAAGGCAAGACTACAGTGACGTTTTGTATTTTCAAGTGCTGTGGAACACTTCTACACACACTCCCAAAGCTTATACTTAGCATTTGGGGCACAGGCGTGCATTTTGCATTTTTCAGCACCACTCAATAAGCCAGTGGGAGGAGGAGAAGGAAAATGAGCCTCTGTGCCTTCCCAGGACGTAGGTGCCCAGTGGGGCTCCGCCACTTAGGTGAGCATCCCTGGAAAAATGAGGTTAAGGCAGGAGGCAAACTCGGTAAAAATATGCCTCATATTTTTGTCAAAGTGAGAGGAAAATGTTGCCTTCATCCCAAGCTAGAAGACACCCAGGGTGTCTCCCAGGCTGAGGCGGCTCTGCAGAGGGGCCCCTTGTGCCTTTGCCTCTTGCCAGAGAAGCTGACTTTCTGCATCTATCTCCCTTGTTCCTATCTTCCTCCTCTCATAAGTGAGGACAAGACAAAAGCCACTGTGAGTGTCCCCTTTGGCTTTTCCTACAGAATATGGAAAATTACAACAGCTTCAGGCACTCAATCTCTAAAGAGGAGTCTCACGTTCTCCTCTGCTGCCTGAGGCAACTGGGCCCTGAGCCATGCCCAGCACCGTGCAGAGAATCTCTATAATCTCAGGGGTTCTTAACCTAAGATCTAGGAACTCAGATGGGGTGGGGGAATGAGCCCTTATTTTCACCAACCTCTAACTGCAATATAGCATATTTTCAGTGATGAATGGAGGCAGCTGACCCCAGTAGGACTAGCAACACCTGTCACCCATGGAAATTACAGACATTTTCATTTCACAGCCCAGTGTGGCAGATATCATAAAATATCTTTTATATTCATTAGGACTTCAAAATTAATGGTAGTTATCAGACTCACCATTAGATCTTATTATTTAATGCATTTATATAAAAGCTTATAGATATTTCTGTATCACAAAAAGTTTTAAATTTTAGATAACTATTTCAGGATAACTGATTTCTCTTAAAATCCAATGTTTTTTTCATTCTGTGCACCCAAAAAAATCATCATTCTGCGAGAGGGTCCACGGTTTCATCAGGCTGCCAGAAGGAACCCTGGCAAAAAACAAATTACAAACTCCTTTCTTGACCTGGATTCCCAAACCCCTAAAACTACATGAAAAAAAAAAAAGCAAAAACCTGGGTGTTAAGGGTGTGTACATTTTTCTGGAGATAATATCCATAGTTTGTCTGATTCTCAGAGGGGTCAGTGACCCAAACTAATAAGGAAATTGGTTCTAGGTCAGTGCCAGGACTTCAGGGCTGAGGAGCAGCCTAGGCCCAGCAGCAGGACCGTGCTGGCCCACCTGGCTGGGTGGCTTGTAAGGAAGGGAGGGAGGGTAGGGGAAGCAGGCCTCAGTGCATCCAGGGCCAAGACTTGTCAGCCTTGTGAGACTCAAAGGACCCAGTGGTCTGTTTTTATCCCTGGAGGGATAAGAGGGAAAGACCTTTTATGAACTGCTTCTCCCCAGAAAGTAACAAAGTTTTGCTCTTGAAAAATATCTAACTCTCTCAACCAAAATAAAACCAAAGTGTTCATTCCAACACTAGTGAAATAGACTCATGATGAAAGACACCAATGGCCTATATACCAATATAGTTTTTCACTTGGAGTACAGGTGGTTGTCACAAATAATTCTGAATTCTTCATAGTTTGGGTGCAATATCGTATGTGTATGGATCCGGTCTGCCACATTCTCAAGAGAAGGCAAGTTAGAGGCTGCCCTACAGCTCTGCGGGTTGTGCCCTGCCCAAGAGCCAGAGTCCGAGGGTGTGAGGGCTCTAATTTAGCTCTCAGAGAGGATGATCTAGACACACAAAGGGTCCAGAAATGCTAGCAGAAACCCTGGGCAAGTGGCCCTTTGTTTTTTCTGGATCATAACAAGCAGAGCTCATAGCAGTGTTGAGATTCAAGCATTCACTGCTACCGAGAAAGTAGCTAGTTTAGTGGTGCTAACTGTGCCAATGTCCCTCTTCCTTCACCCTATGGAAGAGCAGACTAAGACCCATCCCCGGGCCACTGTCTTCCTAACGTGCTTTTGATCCAAGGGGGCCCAGGTAAGGTGGGTCACTGAGGCTCAGCTTCATTACTGAACAAGCTTTCATGGTGCTTGACACCAGGAAGTCGCCCACCATCACTGCATGTCAGAGACAAGGCTAAGATTAAGGAAGTATAAGGTGGAACTTGTACACACATTTAAATTTAAAATCTCCAAGGCAATCTTGAAGGAAACTGGCTTCAGGAGATTTGTGACCTTTCTAAGCGCAATTTTTCCTAGGGAGAAATTAAATCAAGTGGAATTTTCAGTCCCCAGGGACTGAAATCTTAGACTTAGTGAATCTAAGAGTCAGGAGGTGGGAGCTTGGCACAGATGTACCATCACATGTGTGGATGGTGACTCAGCTCCACTCCCAAACTGTGCCACATCCTGCCTCTGGACCCTGAGGCAGGAATGGGATGCTGTGGAGTGCACATGGAATTGGCCTGCAGAGAGGAAATGAAAACTGTATTTGTGAACTACAGATCAACCAGCCCATGTGTTTCAAGTTCAGGTTCCTTCCTGGGTAATTTGTTTTTCTCTGACATTGTGATCTAGAACTATCACTTGAGTTTTGTCCTCAAAAGTCCCTAAAGGCTAACAATTCAGTTATAACCACATAATATCTCATTTTACATGGCATAAGAAGTCAACCAAAACATCCATGTTATTTCCGTTTCTTGTAATAAGCCAACCCAAACTAGGGAGATAAACTCTTGCCACCAAGTCCCTTTCTGTCCTTCTCTGTACACCATTTACATCAATTCTGATGTCGAATCAGTTGAAATCAGAAATGGAAGAAATAGCCAATTTAGAATCTCCCCGAAAAAAGTAGAGTCTTTGTTTCTGTAGGAGAGGTGTTTCGTTGTACTTACATGTCCCATACACAAGAGCATTAGACTGCTTTTCATCACGTGGGCTGTGTATTTGACACGTTCACATATGCCCTGCTTCCATTCATCATATCTCTAAAAATGCCATTTAGCCCAAACTGGGGGGAAAGAAGTAGACTGCATCAACCAGACCACTTTTCACTTGCTAGAATTCTGGCATTCCTTCTTCTACATCAATGTTCTACCCCTGGCAGCATTGTCTTTGGCAACAAGGAACAATGAAGGGCTGTCCTTTGGCATAAGGCCCACCCCTAGACCAGTGCAGGAGCCAGCTGCTTTGGAGGCAGGGGTAAGAGCTTGACTGGCACCTCTTCATCCTCCACCAACCCCTCCAGGCCTAAATGAAAACAAACATCACAGGATGCCACATAGAAGCGTTTTCACTAGTGGGCCAATCAGTAATCAATTCACAAGTCACAGGAAATGTAATAGCAGTAGCTGTTAGTGGGAGGTGAAGGGAAACACCAAATGCTAGAAAGCTAACAAAACACTCTGGAAGTTTCTTTCTCCTACTCTGCATTCAAAGGACCCCAGCCACCCCTCCCGCCATTTGAACAACACTCTTTAATAAAATGTTTCTCTTACATATTTGGGCATTGGGAAAATCATTTCTCAGATCCAGGTCTCCATCAGCAGGGTAAATAGGATGATTTTCAGTTGTGTGCCTTTCTGTACTTGGATCTTCCCTTGAGGTTTGCTTCTGGACCTGTTGGTGCATGATGGCTTCTAGTAGCTTATCCGGGAGTAGGGGAAAGATGACATCCAGGTCATTTTGCTGGATCATGAAGACCTGAATTAAGTATATCTTTTGTTACTCTTTGTCACTAGTCCCAATTAACAACCACCCCAACAACAGTTTCCACCATGTGTTAAGCACCGACTGCACTGTGCCAAACCTTGACATACACTATCTCATTTAATCCTCGCAAAGAAGAGCCATGACCTATGGGGGGGCAGGAGTATTACCTTATGTTGTATATTCTAGATTACAATTTTTAGTCTTAACACTTCTGAAATCAAGATACATTTGGACATTTTTTCACCTTTTACAAACTTCTGGAATGAAGATGAGTCTTACCATTGACATAATCTAGGTTCTATGAAATAGAGAATTATCTTTATTTTGCAGATTTAAAAAAATGGAGTTTCAGTGAAGTTGCCTGCTGTGTGACTAAGTTGGAATCAAATTCCATTTCTGTCCAACTGCAGAACTTTTAAATACAGTTTATGATCTCCATAAATTCAGATTTATCTGACTTTGACATTTTCTTCTGAGTTTAAAATTTCACTCTGCTATTACTTAGGTCTCCTGAATCTTTGGCCTTTATCCAGCATACCCAACAAAAGACTCAAACTACACCCTAGCTCCTGCACACACAGCTCAAGAAGATGAAAAGAGTCTTTGTAACATGATTAACGATAGGTCATCTTGTGCCTTTTGGGGCTCTGTTGCAGGGGCGGGTGGCGCCTGAAACACAGCCTGCCGTTGCTCTCATTTCCACATACACCAGTCCTGGCTTGTGTCTGCCCTTAGGAAGGGATGACTTTTTCTGGTTTGCAGAAAGATATGCTATGGACTTGCAACAGCCCTGATAGGAGTCAGTGTCCCACATGGGTTTCAACCATCCTCTTCAGTGGTTTGGAAAATAGAATAGCAGGGTTGTATTTTCAGACTCCATATAATTCCAGCTGAGTGGGTTTAGTGATGCTTCAGGAAACATGAGAGAATTCAAAGCATTAACTTAGATGAGGTTTAGTAGGAATGGGTGTCATGAAGTACTTTTGCTTCATGCAAACAGTCACCAATAAGTACCAGAGAAAACCTGATTAAGGGCAGGCGTAGAAAACATCAGTGACCACAAAATAAAAATGTGTTACCACCAAGTGGAAAATTATTCTATTCTCAAAACTAAGAAAAGCAGAAACCAAGACTTTCACTCTGCCCAGCATTTCCATGTGCACATTGCTTTTGCTCTATGGGAAGAGAGATGGTTCAGAGAAGAGCAGCTGAGGGGATGAGTAGATCTTTGGCTTTATGAAACAATTTGCCACGTGTTTATTTTAAATAACAAGCTCTGTCTGTGCTTTAGAGTATTTGTGTGATTTTTCTTTAAACTACACTTATCAAAAAATTCAATTAATTTGTGGTCAACTTGTATTGGCCAGGATGTTTGGCTATAAGGATAAAAGGAAATTTACTGTCTCGTGTAACCTGCAAGCCCCAGGAGTACAGTTGGCTTCACATGTACCCTTCTTTCCCTCCTCCTCCTCCTCTTCTTCCTTTTCTTCCTCCTCCTCCCCCTCCCCCTTCCATCTCTCAGTGCTACTTGACTAAGTTCCCTGACGGCCTCACCCCATTTAGTGACAAGGTAGCTCTGAAAGCTCTCAGTTTACATGGTCTGTGGAATTCATAATCCCAGTAAATGCGATCTCTCCCAACAATGTTGGCAAAAAGTACCTGGAGGGAGGATGCTTAGCCTGGCTTAAGTCATGTGCCCATCTCTAAAGCAATCCCTCCATCCAAGGGGAATGAAACACTTTGATTGGCTGGACCTGGATGGCTCCGCCCATTCCTCAGGCGGGGGCTTAACCCGCCTGCACCACATAAACTGAACAAGATTTGTAAGGAACTGAAGAGTTAACTTTCTCCAAAGGAAGAAACGCTGGGCACACAACAACCAAGTTCACTACAGACCCTTCAGAAGTGTGTCTGTGGTTTGAAACAGATATCTGTACAGGAACAAATTGTAGGTCCTATGAGAAAAGGTAACAGTTAAAGTGATGTATCCTATAAAAAAGAAAGCTGTGCACGGGGAATTCAAAAAGCTAGTTTTAAGTATCAGTGCTTCTGTTATAATGGAAGCAATGCAGAATTACATGCTAAAAAATAATCGGCCTTGTAAGAAAATTGAGATTGGGGCGACCTCTCAAAACCCATGCAACTTTATAACTAGAGCTCTAACAAAACCAATTACAATCCTAATAAAAATAATGATATAAACAGAAAGAAGTGTTAAATTCG